GCACTGGTCGCCCCAAACTCGCCCGCCGCCCCGCGGTCGCTCGGCCCCTCGGCTGGCCCAATTCCTTGGTTTTGTTTGTTTTTCGTTTGTTTTCGCTTGCCCGTCGGCTGCACTGGTCGCCCCAGGCTCGCCCGCCGCCCCGCGGTCGCTCGGCCCCTCGGCTGGCCCAATTCCTTGTTTTTTTTTTTGTTTTCGCTTGCCCGTCGGCTGCAATGGGCGCGCCCGCGGCCTTTCGGGCGCCCGTCCCCTCGGCTGGCCCAATTCTGTGGATTTGTTTGTTTTTTTGTTTTTTTCGCTTGTCCGTCGGCTGCGCTGGTGGCCCCAGGCTCGCCCGCCGCCTTTCGGTCGCTCGGCCCCTCGGCTGGCCCAATTCCTTGGTTTTGTTTGTTTTTGTTTGTTTTCGCTTGCCAGTCGGCTGCACTGGTCGCCCTGGGCACGCCCGCCGCCTTTCGGTCGCTCGGCCCCTCGGCTGGCCCAATTCTGTGGATTTGTTTGTTTGTTTGTTTTCGCTTGTCCGTCGGCTGCACTGGTCGCCCCGGGCTCGCCCGCCGCCCAGCGGTCGCTCGGCCCCTCGGCTGGGCCCAATTCCTTGGTTTGTTTTGTTTGTTTTCGCTTGCCCGTCGGCTGCACTGATCGCCCTGGGCACGCCCGCCGCCCTTCGGTCGCTCGGCCCCTCGGCTGGCCCAATTCTGTGGATTTGTTTGTTTTTGTTTGTGTTCGCTTGTCCGTCGGCTGCACTGGTCGCCCCAGGCTCGCTCGCCGCCCCGCGGTCGCTCGGCCCTTCGGCTGGCCCAATTCCTTGGTTTTGTTTGTTTTCGTTTGTTTTCGCTTGTCCGTCGGCTGCACTGGTCGCCCCCGTCACGCCCGCCGCCTTTCGGTCGCTCGGCCCCCCGGCTGGCCCAATTCTGTGGATCTGTTTGTTTTTGTCTGTTTTCGCCTGTCCGTCGGCTGCACTGGTCGCCCCAAACTCGCCCGCCGCCCCGCGGTCGCTCGGCCCCTCGGCTGGCCTAATTTCTTGGTTTTGTTTGTTTTTGTTTGATTTCGCTTGCCCCGTCGGCTGCACTGCTCGCCCTGGGCACGCCCGCCGCCTTTCGGTCGCTCGGCCCCTCGGCTGGCCCAATTCCTTGGTTTTGTTTGTTTTTGTTTGTTTTCGCTTGCCCGTCGGCTGCACTGGTCGCCCTGGGCTCGCCCGCCGCCCCGCGGTCGCTCGGCCCCTCGGCTGGCCCAGTTCCTTGGTTTTGTTTTTTTGTTTGTTGTCGCTTGCCCGTCGGCTGCACTGGTGGTCGCCCTGGGCGCACCCGCCGCCTTTCGGTCGCTCGGACCCTCGGCTGGCCCAATTCTGTGGATTTGTTTGTTTTTGTTTGTTTTCGCTTGCCCGTCGGCTGCACTGGTTCGCCCTGGGCTCGCCGGCCGCCCCGCGGTTCGCTCGGGGACTCGCCAACTCGGGGCTCCTCGGTTGGCCCAATTCCTTGGTTTTGTTTGTTTTTGTTTGTTGTCGCTTGCCCGTCGGCTGCGCTGGTCGCCCTGGGCACGCCCGCCGCCTTTCGGTCGCTCGTCCTTTCGGCAAGCCCAATTCCTTGGATTTGTTTGTTCTTGTTTGTTTTCGCTTGCCCGTCGGCTGCACTGGTCGCCCTGGGCGCGCCCGCCGCCCTTCGGTCGCTCGGCCCCTCGGCTGGCCCAATTCCTTGGTTTTGTTTGTTTTTGTTTGTTTTCGCTTGCCCGTCGGCTGCACTGGTCGCCCCGGGCTCACCCGCCGCCTTTCGGTCGCTCGGCCCCTCGGCTGGCCCAATTCCTTGGTTTTGTTTGTTTTTGTTTGTTTTCGCTTGCCCGTCGGCTGCACTGGTCGCCCCAGGCTCGCCCGCCGCCCCGCGGTCGCTCGGCCCCTCGGCTGGCCCAATTCTGTGGATTGGTTTGTTTTTGTTTGTTTTCGCTTGCCCGTCGGCTGCACTGGTCGCCCCGGGCTCGCCCGCCGCCTTTCGGTCGCTGGGCCCTTCTGCTGGCCCAATTCTGTGGATTGGTTTGTTTTTGATTGTTTTCGCTTGTCCGTCGGCTGCACTCGTCGCCCCAGGCTCGCCCGCCGCCCCGTGGTCGCTCGGCCCCCCGGCTGGCCCAATTCTTTGGTTTTGTTTGTTTTTGTTTGCTGTCGATTGTCCGGCGGCTGCACTGGTCGCCCTGGGCACGCCCTGCTCCGCGGTCGCTCGGCCCCTCGGCTGACCCAATTCTGTAGATTTGTTTGTCTTTGTGTGGTTTGGCTTGTCCGCGGAGGCTGCGCTGGTCGCCCCAGGCTCGCCCGCCGCCCTTCGGCCAGCTCGGCCCCTCGGCTGGCCCAATTCCTTGGTTTTGTTTGTTTTTGTTTGTTTTCGCTTGCCCGTCGGCCGCACTGGTCGCCCTGGGCACGCCTGCCGCCGTTCGGTAACTCGGCCCTTCGGCTGGCTGGCCCAATTCCTTGGGTTTGTTTGTTTTTTGTTTGTTTTCGCTTGCCCGTCGGCTGCACTGGTCGCCCTGGGCACGCCCGCCGCCTTTCGGTCGCTCGGCCCTTCGGCTGGCCCAATTCCTTGGTGCTGTTTGTTTTTGTTTGTTTTCGTTTGCCCGTCGGCTGCACTGGTCGCCCTGGGCGCGCCCGCCGCCCTTCGGTCGCTCGGCCCCTCGGCTGGCCCAATTCCTTGGTTTTGTTTGTTTTTGATTGTTTTCGCTTGCCCGTCGGCTGCACTGGTCGCCCTGGGCACACCCGCCGCCTTTCGGTCGCTCGGCCCCTCGGCTGGCCCAATTCTGTGGATTTGTTTGTTTTTGTTTGTTTTCGCTTGTCCGTCGGCTTCACTGGTCGCCCCAGGCTCGCCCGCCGCCCAGCGGTCGCTCGGCCCCTCGGCTGGCCCAATTATTTGGTTTTGTTTGGTTTTATTTGTTTTCGTTTGCCCGTCGGCTGCACGCACCCGCCGCCTTTCGG